GGGTGTGAGAGTGCCGTGTGTGAGTGATGGGTGTGAGAGTGCTGTGTGAGATGGGTGTGAGAGAGTGCTGTGTGAGAGAGTGCTCTGTGAGAGTGCTGTGAGAGAGTGCTGTGAGAGAGTGCTGTGTGTGTGAAAGTGCTGTGTGTGATGGGTGTGAGAGTGCTGTGTGTGTGTGAGTGCTCTGTGAGAGTGCTGTGAGAGTGCTGTGTGAGAGAGTGCTGTGTGTGATGGTGTAAGAGTGCTGTGTGTGATGGTGTGAGAGTGCTGGGTGTGATGGGTGTGAGAGTGCTGTGTGTGATGCGTGTGAGAGTGCTGTGTGAGAGAGTGCTGTGTGTAATGTGTGTGAGAGTGCTGTGTGTGATGGGTGAGAGTGTTGTATGAGAGAGTGCTGTGTGTGATGGGTGAGAGAGTGCTGGGTGTGAGTGCTGTGTGTGATGGGTGTGAGAGTGCTGTGTGAGAGAGTGCTGTGTGTGATGGGTGTGAGAGTGCTGTGTGTGAGAGTGCTGTGTGTGATGGGTGTGAGAGTGCTGTGTGAGAGAGTGCTGTGTGTGATGGGTGTGAGAGTGCTGGGTGTGAGAGTGCTGTGTGTGATGGGTGTGAGAGTGCTGTATAAATGTTATTGTGTGTGTGTAGGGGGGGTAAATATTATTATTTTTTTTTAAAGTCATTATTTCCCCCCCCTCCCTTCTTACCTTTAGCCTGGGAGTGTGTGAAGAGCTCTAGCATGAGAGCTCGGCACGCTGGGAGGCGGGGTGGCGGTGTTCCCTGGTGGTCCTCGTGGGTAAGTGAACTCTAGCCTGTGTGGCTAGAGTTCACTCTCGCCAGATCCGGCCGTTGCCATGGCAACGCGCCGGATCTCGCGAGAGGAACCCGGCGGAGCTGCAAATTAGAGCTCCGCCGGGTCCTCTCTCCAGCCTGGCTGGCTGGCTCCCTCCCTCCCTCCCCGCCGGCGGACGCATGTGGGCCGGTCAGGGAGATCTTTGATCTCCCCACCTGCCCGTCGTGGCAAACAGCGGGGCCGGCGCTCGGATAGTGCCGGCCCTGCATAGACCGGCAGGGGAGATCCTGGAACCTCCCCTGCCGGCCTCGGCCCCACGGCCACCGCGGCCCACCGGGCATTTGCCCGGTGTGCCCGATGGCCAGTCCGGGCCTGCACTAGGATGAATGACATGGCCTGGCAATCTCCTATTTCCCACTCAAAGTTTTCTCTAGTGCTTCTGGCAGTACTACTTGTTAGATGATACAGCATAAAAAATAAAGTTGTCTCACAGTAGAAACAATGACCCAGACTAGCCCTCACTCCAACACACTGTATCACTGCTGGTCTGTCTCCCTAATTAGCTTAAGTCAAAGTGTCTAGAAGAATTTTGCTTGGAATTATAACTGTTTTATTGCTCTTCCTTTTCCCCCCTTCTATTTGTCTGTGAAGAAATAAACATTTAGTAGCTGTTCCCTAACTATTAATCATCTTCTATTTCCCAACTCTCGATTGGACAGGAGATCCAGCCCACATGATTGGGTAGACCTCTTGTCCATCATGGGAAACCATCACAGTATATAACCCAAACACACAGAGTATAAAACCTAAAATAATCAGACACAATAATGTGTTACTGGTCCTTAGAGGTGAACGGTCTTCATGTAGGAAAGAAGAACAGAAAATCTAGCAAAGATCAAGGGATTCCAAAAATCAGATAAATCAGAAAGCTAAACAGGTCCAGGTTACAAAGGGGTCAGACTGGTCAAGTAGATAGGTGGCTCAAAAACAAGTGCTTTTGGGAACAAGGAACCACAAAGGGGCAAGGAACACTGTTTTGTTTACTTCTGTGATTTACACTAAACACGGCCCCAAAACACTGAGGATGACGGGAAGGTAAGTGAAAGGGCCATCAAGGATCACTCCTCTAAGCCAAAAAAAAACAACAGCAAGAAAATAAACAGCATTTTCTCCATTAAATCCTAATTTTTCTAGTGCTAGAAATGGTGCTCCAAATCATGAATCCTCTGTGTGAGTTGGTTCCCCCGAGATTTTGGCACATTGAAATCAACTGATTTGCTCAAATTTTTTGGTTGCACTGCTGTTTGGTCCAAAATGGATCTCCAGTTCTAATTACTATTACTCTGTGGATTTACATAGTAAATAAATTCCACAATCTGTAAAAAAAAAAGATACATTAGTCACTGATGCTGCATCCCTGCACAACATCAGGTCTTTTAACTAAGAAATGCCTTAATTGTACACTAGAAGGGGACTGACACACACTGCTTGCCTAGGGGTGTAGGATATTACATTCCAATCTTAATGTCCATGGTACTAAATTTGCTATGTAAATTAGTTAGGAAAAAATGAAATAAACAAAAATAAATAACACAAAATATTGTGTTGGCCTAAAATGCTCTCTTATATTAATTAAATAAAGACTTATGCATATGTTTCAATATTCAGTGTGTGATTTATATATATATATATATTTTTTTTTTTCTCTGCACCTGACACTTTCTCTTTCTGTATTCCCGCTGACATTATGTCACTTCGCCTAAGGCAGACATATATTAATAATAGGAACTCAATTTTAGACAGACATTAACCATGAGTAACATAACGCCTGCTGGGTTTCAAAACTCCTACTGCTGGAGTGTCTCTCACGAGTAATGCTAAAATGACATGCAAATGGATAACATATTGTGGCATTGGCATGAAAAAATTATTCTTTGATCATATGGCGAGACACACAATTTTGCGAAATGATGGTAATGGTAGACGTCTTACCAGGGGAACTTGCACAGGTTTTAAGCTTTGATTCTCAAAGGCCAAAAATTCTTCAGCTTTCTGAATGATACAGTAACACATAGCCCACTGACAGGCAGTATTGGACGGTATATTCTGTAACCAGTCAACTGTAGCGAATTAACAGTGAAGCACCACAGGTGGCAAATTCTCACATTTCTCATTATTTGCAACTTCCATTTTTTTTGGTCTAAACACAATTTGTTCATTGTTCAAATAAGAAACCGTTGAATGCTTATGAGTGAATTAAACAATTCCTGAAATTGGTAGGACTGTGCCCCTATAAGGATGGGTGTGATAACTTAGCAGGTAATACTTTGTGAACCCCAGTTAAGCATATGAAACAGCAAGGCCCTTTTTTCATAATGGATAGTATGACACATATTCCATAGGTCACATCCAAAAAAGGTAGCGTTCCCTTAGTTCAGTTTGCATAGTGTATCTAATGACGTGGTTATATTAAACTTATTTGGTGTCCCCGAAGAGGAACACAACATAACAAACCCCAAACAGTAGGATAGAGCCTCAAATTTTGGACTGTCCCTTGAATACAGATTTTTGCAAGGTATGCACATTTTTCAGTAGTCAGCAACCTATCACCCATTGTCTAATAAGGGCCACAAAATCTGGCAATACAAACTGCAATAATATTAATAATAATATTATATTGGCACCCACGTATAATAGTAGTTTATGAGCAGAGTGTCAATAAATTAACTAGAATACCCAGCTTCTTTGTAGTTGTCACGACTGCTAGTGTGGTCCAGCACGCAGAATTATGTACCATCTACATAGACAGAACAGAAAAAGAATGTAAACCGGTCTTTAGAATGGCCGGACTAATACGTTAAAGACAGAGAATGGTCAAGGGATAGCCGAGGTCAAGGAAGCCAGAAATACAAAGTATCGTTAAACAAGCCAAGTCAGGGAAACCAGAAATTATAACAGTCAGGAATAGCCAAGGTCACAATACCAGGAGTATCAAAAACAGAACAAGAAAATGCCCTCTCAGGAACAAGAAACGAAATCCACAACAGGGCAATGACCTAGGGAACTTTAAGGATTTAAATATCCCTCCTTCGGCTGTGATTGGTCAGAGGGTGATCTCTGACCCCAGAATGTGCGTGTGCGCCCTGGGGGGCGGGGCTATATATGGCCGCGACCGAATGTTCAGCGCCACATTGAGTAAGGGCAGACGGCCAGGAGGACCTGGTGGAGCGGCTCCCGACTCGCCACTGAGCGGGTAGGCTCAGTTCATTGGTGCAGTCGCACCGGTCGGACAGTAGTACTCCATTATAAGGGGAAGCTTTCTCTCATTTATTAGGCATTAGCATATTGAACAAATAAAGTTGGCAGAAGGGATATTATCAGTGATGACTGAAGTTCCTAAAAAAAAATAATTAAAAAAAAATTATTCAGGTTATTCGCTGAACTGGGAACTACAAAAAAGTGATAAGTGCCCTGGATATCTTAGGTCAAAATAACTGAATCAAATAAACTCTCCAACTTGGCTAATTTGGCTGAAAACTTGCAAATTTCTTGCCAATTCTTAATGTTTGTTGAGGGTGAATGAGGAAAACTCTATTACTGCAGATGCTTGAGATAAAAATCCTCTTTTGCAAATAGAACATTTTAGGACAAAGTTATATTGGATAATATTTTACAACTTTTTTTTAACATTTTAAGTTCTCTTGTCAGTTCTTCTACAGTTCCTCCCTGACTTGGTGAATAGGTACCACCTAATGTACCTCAACAATTTGCAAAAGCAACATGAATCAACAGTATTTTGATTGTAAACTGGTTTGAGCAGGGTCCACATCAACACATTGTTCCTGTAATAATTTGTAATTGCTTTATTTATGGTTAAATATTCCCATTTATAATGCTGTAAAGATATGCAGAGTAAGTTTATTCTATATAAATGCTAATTTTGTTTATATCTTATTATATGCAAACAAGACATATGGGGGGCACTTAGATCTGTGCCCTATGGTTTTACTTTCTTATCTAGGCAGAGGACATAAGAACCTTAAAAAAGAAAGTCTGTTATGTCGCTAGAACTAAAATTCTTTGATTTGTGCATCGCATCAAACAAAACCTTAATCATTACCCTGACTGTGTGAATTCGTATTCACTCTGCACCTGCCACTTTCTCTCTCTGTCACTCGAAAACTGCACGCTGAGTTTTTTTTTTTGTGTGTGTCTTTCTTCACAGTCCTGATGTGGTGTGTGTGTGTGTATGTATGTATATATATATACATATATATATACACACACACACACACATGCACATATACACACACACACACACACACATACAAACACACACACATACATACATGTCTGCCATTTCAATTGCCATTTCTCCTTTCACTTCTCATTCTCACCTTCCTTTCCCTGCTACCCTGTTCTCTGTTTCACAATCACATTCTGCTTGTGATTAGATTTCTCTTGTTAACAGATTTGATCTCCTCCAAGGGGAACAGAAAAAAACACACTGCCACTTTCTTTTCTGCATTCATCTGTCTTCGACAGAGCAGGTGTGCTAAGGCGTTAGATACTAAATAAGGGGAATGTGCGATCACAGGTCCCTCTTCTTAAACTGCCAGTGTCAAGACAGAAAGCCAGGTGCTACAATTTAAGTAAGGATTAGCACATTCATTTCCTCAATAGTGCAGCACTTATTTTACAAGAAGTGGAAGGCACTGTAGATAGAACATAAATCTGCAGCATTGTGTAGCAATGTATAGTATTATGATCATATTGGATTGTATAAGCTAAAAACAAATGTCACTCAAAACTCCATTGGTTAGTTCAAGGTGAATTTAAGGACAAACATGGTACACTATAGTAAACATGCCTCCTAAGAGTCCCTCTTTAGAAGAGGCAGTCCAGTTATATATGGGACCATAGGAATAAACAGAAATCAGCTAAAAAAGAAACAAAAAAAATATATATGTAAGAATGAGGACTTGGTAAATCAATAAACCATGGTGGCCAGATAAGCACTATGCAAAGAAAAATAAAATAAAGTAAGATATGGAAAAGGGGCGATATAACAATTGGGCAAGAAGAGTAGGGGAGTTGGACATCATATAGAAAAGGAGTGTGAAAAGGAAATACAGAAAAAAGGAGAGCAGGTGAAGGAAAGACTAAGGTAAAGAATTAACAGAAGGTAGCACACCAGTATAAATGTCTGCTAGTAATCATCTAAGTAACATTTGACCTAAATTACTCAGAGCAGCAATATAAGATCCAACACTTCAAAATCTTTATCAATTGATATGCTTCAAAGAGAATGTGTTCTCCATCTACTGTTCTCCATCTATACTGCCTCCCTTGGTAAACTCATTAGCTCCTTTGGCTTCCAATACCATTTCTATGCAGATGACATGCAAATCTACCTGTCCTCTCCTGATCTCTCCCCGTCCCTCTTGACTAGTGTCTCTGACTGCCTCTCTGCTATTACTAACTGGATGGCTGCCCACTTCCTTAAACTAAACTTGACCAAAACTGAAATTCTGGTCTTTCCTCCCTCAAGTGTTGTTACTCCTGTGTCTGTCTCCCTCCAAGTCAACGGTGCTACCATCAGCTCCGCCATGAAGGCTCGCTGCCTAGGTGTTCTCTTTGACTCCGACCTCTCCTTCAAGCCTCATGTTCAATCTATTGCCAAATCCTGTAATTTCCATCTCAAAAACATTGCGCGCATCTGTCCCTACTTAACGCCAGATGCGATTAAGGTTTTGGTCAATTCCACTGTCCTTTTTCGCCTTGACTACTGTAATCCGCTTCTCAGTGGTCTTACGTGCTCCCAACTTGCGCCGTTACAGTCCATAATGAATGCGGCAGCGAGGCTCATCTTTCTGCCGCCCGCACCTCCCATGCCTCACCCTTCTGTCAGTCCCTACATTGGCTTCCTATAAAATACAGAGCTCAATTTGAAATTCTGGTTCTTGCTTTCAAATCTCTACATAATGCTGCTCCCTCCTATCTATCCTCCCTTATCCACAAGTATGTCCCGTCTAGGCCCTTATGATCTGCTGAAGACTTACGTCTATCTTCTGTCCATACTCCCACCTCTGATGCTCGCCTTCAAGATTTCTTGAGGGCTGCACCATTGCTGTGGAACTCGCTTCCCTCCTCCGTTAGATGCTCACCCAGTCTCCACTCCTTCAAAAAATCGTTAAAAACCCACTTCTTCATAAAAGCGTATCAATTAAACTGTTAATAGGTCCTGACTGATTCCTCTTCTGCAACTGTCACCTACCTTTTTGTGTCACTTTACCCCACTCCCTCTAGCATGTAAGCTCATTGAGCAGGGCCCTCAACCCCTCTGTTCCTGTGTGTCCAACTTGTCTGGTTACAACTACATGTCTGTTCGTCCACCCATTGTAAAGCGCTGCAGAATTTGATGGCGCTATATAAATATCATAGTAATAATAATAATAATAATACAGCAATGACCGCAACTCATCAAGTAGCAAAGCCCACTTCCGAATTGAATGACAGATGTAGTTTCGAAAGACCTGGAATCAAATACCTAGCTGTAACCATTAGGAGACAGGACACTTCAAGACAAAATCAGGATGGTGGTGCATCCACCTGAAAAAAAACAATGTTTTTGAATGAAAAATCAAGATCTTACCATATATTTCCTGTATAATTTTATGGGCAATTGACCAGAGCAGTGTAGTTGCTGGTGCTCTGCCACAATATAACAATGATGGGTGAGAACTCTTCTGCCATTGGGCATCGCCACTAGCATCGTTGAGAGATGTCTCCCCTTTTCCATAATATTAAGATGGTGGCACTCCAACTCTGACAGTACTATATTATTTAAAGATGAGGTAAAGCAAACTAGTCTGTATAAATTTAGAAGTGTTCACAAGTGTTCACTGTTTGGTGCTAATTAAAGGACTCTGTTGATAACCCCTTAATCTAAGACAGCGCCAGGAACTCAAAGCACCATAATAACTTCATAGAAAAATCATAGAAGAACTGGGGCTTTTAAGGACACCATTCAGGACTCAAGTCTAGGTTAAGCCCTTCCAGTAACAATTCTGTCCCTACCCCTCAATGGCCCCATAGTACATGCCCCTACCTCTCAAGACCAAAGTTTGCATATGCTCCTACCTCCCATGACCCCAGTTTTGATATGCTCTAACTTACATACCTCCCTAAGCCCCATGCCCCCAATTTCAATACTCTGCTATTTCTCAAGGGCCCCAGATTGTATTTACCCCGAAATTCCATGCACCTAGGTGGTATTATGCCCTAGTTTGCATAGTTTGGTAAACAACAAATAAATTGCAAATGAATGGTGAATTAATTAATGAATAGACAAACAAAAAACTAAAAAATACAATACACCCATATTAATATACAACACACACCACTCCACATACTGTCAGATCATTTTGATCAGTTCTCAAGTGACATTTTCTAAATATTATGTATATATTTTGCAGTACAATGATAAGCAAATTGTCCTGCCATTTGGTTCACGGATTAAACGAGAAGGACTAAAAAATAGAGGGGGAAAAAATGAGGAGCATTAGACAATACATATTTAATACTATATATTTTTTTACATAGATAACATAAAAGTATATTATTATAGATGTATTTACTAATCTTTCTTTTCTCCCCTCGATTGGTCATGTGTCACTTGATCTGTAAATAGTCTCAACATTTAGTGTCTGCCCCGTAACCATTAACCACCTTTTTTTCTGGATGGAACTCCGAATCATCAGCGAAACAAAATACCTAATTAATTCTTCATTTTATTTCTATTGTTATTCATCATATGGCTATTCAGAGTTACAAAACGTGTATGGCTCGCCAATAACCCAAAATTCAGACGAATTGTGTTTTTTTTTTTTTAAACTGGATTTGTGACGGTTAACATCAGTTTCAGTTCTGGAATAAGGTGGAATGAATTACCAAAACATGTTTGACTTTTTTGTTTTGTATTCTTGGTCTTTCGAAAAACAACAGCAATTTTTCACTCCTAGCAGCATGTCAAAAGTTGGCAATAGTATCGGGAATACAAATAGAAGGTGCAAAGGTTGTCGACATTAAGGCAACAGAGCCCCAAATGCCAACAGGCATACCAATGGTGATTTATGATGTTTAATTTTTATTATACATTTGCATATGTAATTGTGCTAGGAAGGCATGTTTAAAGCATTTTTTATTTATAACAGAAAGTATCTTTGTTTTTCGAAGGTGCGCTGTAATGTCAGATCATGATATAACCATCAGATTTCTCTTGTTAAAGAAATCAAACATTACATATATTATAAACAATACAAAAACTTGAATATTATATTAAAGGTGAAAATCCCAAAATGTAAACTTTCAGCTATGGCCATGCCTGGAGAATTTAAAGATGGTGTGTTGTGCTACTCAGTTTATTACATTTTTTGAGTTGTTCTTAGAAACCATGATAAGAGCTCCCGGGCAAAGGTGTTATAGTGGATGTTTGTTTCTCTTGGGTATTTGAATGGCAGCAGGCATTTTGTAAACAAGATAATGGAAGTTTGTTCAATTCTTTTACACTTCAAATTGCAATACACCTATATATGCTGAGTCTGAGTGGATTAATGAGGAAAAAAATGGAGGCAGACATCCAAAAAGCAAAACACGGAGAAGAGAAGACCGGCAACCCTCCATATCGTGATAATGTCAAGCCCATGACTACTTGTGCTTGACAATGGTTTCTAGTAAGTTTACAAGTAGGCCTCTGGATACCAGTGGTTGTATTCCCTTTCTATAATAAACCTCTCTTTCAATATTTTCATACAGACAGGAACCTCCATTATTATACCATACAGGGTTCCACTCACAGATGACTTATCAGTAAGCCCAAGATATCAACACTTTTCAAAATATGTGTGCTTTGGGACACCTTGAAGATGAAGCTTAATTTGGTGACACTTAAACTAAGAAGCTTATAAATAGCATTGACCCAGCCAGCCAGCCTGTCTTTGTTGTATGACTTGCAACCTGATCTACCTGTTATCTCTTGCTGATAAAACCCTGCTTCATAAAACACTTCTCTCCATTTTTGACTTTATGTTTTCCTTTCCCTTGGCATTCATGCCAACTTTTCATCACAGCTGCCTCCATCCTGTCTCGATAGCTCTGACAGGCCTCTCTCATTAATTCCAAGCATTGCAGTGCACAAAAAATATAGGATTTACATTCATTATTTCATTGTTGCAAGGGAACGTGTAGAGGAGGCATTTGCATTAGGTTTGGTCACAACTGCATTTATGTGTCTCCATTTATTGGAAAGCAACAGA